CGCTTGGCCTGCTGTGTTCATCCAGCTCCACACCTTGTTGTCTTACAAAGATATTCAGTTATTTTCATTTTCTGGTAAGATTTTGGCTCAGTCCTTTATAAAATATTCTCTTCATGAAAGGTGCAACCACCAAGCCTGAGTAGTGATAGTAGTGGGATGCCTTGTAGATTGATGTGATAGTGATTTATCAGAAAAAAAACCCTTTGTGGTTTGTAACAGATGTGGTTATGTTACTATGTGGCAGTGGTTCCCTCAGAGGCATACATGTCTTTTGTTTATATGTGGTAGAAATTATCGAATGTTATCTACCTAAGACTTTATTTCCCCTCCTCATACCCATGTTAGCCAAGTGTACTCTCTGACCAGCACAACGTAAAAAATTGTTCTAAATAATCTCCTATTTTCTGCTGTCACTAATAGTGATATCCAAAAGATATTGTACACTAGCAGTGAGGTAGATAGTTGCAATATGATTGATCCTTTATTTATCTAGTTCACTTAAAATTGGAAGCAATTCATGTTCCTTGTTGCTAGGTCAGTCGGGGGCATCACTAATGTAGAAACATGATCCTAGAAGGATTTAACTTTAAAGCTGCTGGAGGCTGCTCTACACCCAGTTGGCTGCACCAGTGAATGGAAAGTCTATAGTTCTAGCTTGTGTCTCAGCAGCTGTCTGACCTCTTTGACATTATGCCACAAGTTCCACTTCCTCTTAAAGATTTGTCCTTGGATGCTATTACAAATTAAAAGTACTGCTCCCTCCCAACCACTAGTCACCCAGTTTGGATAGATCCTCTTTCCCCTGAAAAAAAATGTACACAATCTAGTCCTGTTTAACCACTGTTACCATCATTTATGTAGGCATTGATTTTTGTTGCTGCTGTAAATTTCCAAGGAAAGCAATGTACTGCATGAGTGGGAACTGTTTACACATTTGTAGAACATACAGTGGGCTTTTATTCTTAATTTAAAAATCTGTATGTAAAGTGATCGAACTATGTTGTTATATTGTTTTAACAGATCTTCATGTTGCTGAATTCTCCATGTAACTAATGCAGGTGATCTTTTCTCCCTAGTTAGTATTTTATGAAAGACATTTGCTCCAGCTAAATTTCTCCCCACCTGACCTCTGTATAACAGAGTTCTGTAACTGTGCTCTACTTATTCCCCTCCTTTAGTCATGTCTCTATTCCCTACTTCCCCATGCTGTGAATGCTGCTGTTCCCAACTTTTACTCCCTGGTACTATAGCTGCAAACCTCCATGCTGAAGACTCCAGGCTCCAGCACTGAAGGTGACAGCCTGTTTACTTCTGGCCTGAAGTGAACTCCTTTCATGACTACCTGTCAGATAGCATTCAGCTGCATTCTAGTCCATTTATTAATCATTGGTTGCATGTCTTTTCACTTAGGAGTTTTTGTTGTTTTTTTCCCCAGTTTCTTCATTGCTGAGGAAGGATCACCGGACCCGAAACGTTAACTCTGATTTCTCTTCACAGATGCTGCCAGACCTGCTGAGCTTTTCCAGCAATTTGTGTTTTTATTTCAGATTTACAGCATCTGCAGTTCTTTTGGTTTTTAATTAATATCCATCATTCCAGTTGTGTTGTGCAGTATAATAATCCCGTTCTTCGTTACTGGTACACTCTGGCAATACAAGAGTACCAATAGTATCTGGCTGGCTTCCTACATTACAGAGCGCAGCGTGCTCCAGGTTTTGGAAGAGTGCCTGTTAATATTTTAAAAGCTGGTAAAACATGACAGCTAGACTGGGTTCATCTTTATCCTTACAGTTCTTTAAACGAGACTCAAGGACTCAAAGAACATGCATCCCAAAGCAGAATTATAAAAGTGAAAGATTTTATAGCTACTCTTTGAATTACATTGCTTTTAAAGCTGCTGTGTGCTTTCCACGTTATGTTTACTTCGGCTGTGAAATGCAATGTATGTGATGTTTTGTTCTAGTATAGTAGCTTGGTACTGGATCATCCTCTGAACATAAAAGTACTGAATTGGTTTTCCATTAGGGACCTTAACTGGTACTTTGTTCAAAACGATGTTGGTCAACAGTGCACCGCCATGTCCCTGTTAGAGTCCATTATGTGTGTATATGGTTGTGGTAGAGCTTGTCAACATCAAGTGTCACAGATGTTAAAACAATAGCAGGTCCATATGATATCGAGAGGTAACACCAAAACCATTGCTAACTCTCTTCACCAGGCATCATTGTGCAGCAGCCTCAATCTTGCATATTTGTACAAATAGGTAAAGGAAGGCAAATAAGATTCCCAGACTTCTTCACGATCATGTGGATCTTTGAACCATGGAATAATTATTCCCACGATCTACGATGGTCTATTAACTAAATCCAAATCTGTACATATGGGTAGGAATCTTGTGGAAGCACAATCATGTCTAAAGGAGACTTCTGATAAGAAAGGCAATGTTCACTACAAATTAAACTCTCTACTATAAGAGAGCAAAATTAGAAACTGGATTGAAAAATAAAGGAAATACGCTCAGTATCTCACTTTTTAGGAGACTGTCTGCTGCTAACACTTAGATATATAGAACCTATTGTGTGTATGGCCAACCTTTGACAATTTTTGAACACCTGAGGATTATTTCACAAAAACATTTTGCTTTTCTCTGCAGATGATCAAATCTGGTGCAAAACCACAAAACCAATCACTGAAGGAGAATGTTTGACAGCGATTGTTCATCCTTTGCATCAGAGTAACAGTTACCCGGTGTTAAATCTAAGTGTTAAGACGGAGACAGTAAAACCTGCAGAGTGCTCAGATCAAGCAACGACCTACCCTGCTTCATTACATTCTGATATCCAGCTTCTTCCTCAGCAAGCAGGCATGGCTGCAATATTAGCGACTGCAGTTGTCAACAGTAAGTTCTATGCAAATAGAAGGCAAACTATGTAATTGTTACTATGATAAACTCTTCTGGCATTTATTGCTAACTAGAGATGATTAAGCTAACTGAGTGAAATTTGAAGTGTTGGGAAATGGTAGTGTATTGGTAATGTCATTGAGATAGTTCTCCACAGGCTGGAGGCGAAGGCTCTGAGGACAGTGTTTGGTGGAATTTGCATTTGATTAATGAAATCTGAAATTGAATGCTACTCCCAGAAATGGTGACCATGAAATGATAATTGATTCTGAAAAAAAATACAATCTGGTTCAATAACGTCCTTTTGGGAATAAGATTTGCCATACTTTCTGTGTGTATTTGGTAATTATGATGGACTATTACATTGAGTCCAAACACATGACATAGTGATGATATCATGCGCATTTTGGGTGGGAAACAGTTCAGTCTAATGTTGCTGCCTGTAGCGGGAGCGCCCCATAATAAAGCTTCTGCTGTTAACAGCTCGGCCACCTGTTCCTTATTGGAATTAAGCACAAGAAGACAACTGGCATTGAGGATAAAACTGCTTAGAGATCCACCTGGTCAATACACTGATTTGTCAAAAGATATAGAACCATGGTCCTCACCGCAAATCTTGGAGGCACTTCAATGAAAGAAAAGAAATCAAAAGATGCCACCGCTGCAATAAAACAAGTAGAGTCAGTGAGGGAAAACAAGAATTCACCTCTGGGAAGAGGAGAACAGTGCTGAAGAAGCTCACCATGTGCCTTCCTGAAGGAACACTGAGTAATAAGAATCCCACACAGGGAAATGTTTTGAGATTTGTGTATAGACTTAGGAAGAAACAGGCAGCCTCAGGAATACAACAACAACAACAAAAACAAAGTTGCTGGAAAAGCTCAGCAAGTCTGGCAGCATCTGTGGAGGAGAAAACAGAGTTAACGTTTCGGGTCCGGTGACCCTTCCTCTGAGGACCCGAAATGTTAACTCTGTTTTCTCCTCCACAGATGCTGCCAGACTTGCTGAGCTTTTCCAGCAACTTTGTTTTTGTTCCTGATTTACAGCATCCGCAGTTCTTTTGGTTTTTATTTAGCCTCAGGAATACCTTGTTTTAAACTTAAAGAAGTGAGGTAGGCTAAACTTTTCATGGTACATTGTGTACGTAGGCCATTCCCATTTCTTAAATAAAGCACTGGTTGGAAATGCTGGCTGTTTTTGACAGTACGATGAAAAAATATAGAGCTGGAACCCCTACACAGTGAGATTCCATTACTTTGTTCAAGCTAAAAAAAATTGAAGTAGACATAGTCATCCCTGCATTCCTGAGTATTATGGGGGTGGGAGAAACCTTTAACTTCCCAAGAAGTCTGGTACAGCCATTTCCAAACCTTATGAAAGAATCAGTAGAAATTCTGCAAAACCACTTTTCACCAAAACTATTAGTGATTGCTGACAGTTTCGGTTTCCATAAACACAACCAACATGATGGTGAATCTCTCAGTTCTTAATAATTTTAAACAAATATAGCCAAATTCTATGAATTTGGAGACAACGTAAAGACAGACTGGTGTGTGGTTTAAGATGTGAAACAATCCAGACGTTATTGATGGAAAGGAACCTAGACTTAAGGAAAGCACTAGAAATAGCAGTCTCAATGGAAGTAGCTGTCAGGGAAGCTCAACAGGTAAGTTTGAGCATGACAGTTCGCAAAATGGTAGCTGAGGGACAAGCACCAATGCAGATTTAAACTTCCCATCGGTGTGCATAAAGAGGTCATGCAACAGCAAATTGTTGGATAAAGAAGGTGAAAGCAGAAATTGTAGTTAAAAAAGGGCTCATTGAGCAGGTGTATTTGAGAAAGAAACACGAGAACATAAAAGAAACTCAAATCCAGGCGCCAAACAATAGGAAGAAAATCTCCAAACAGACATGAGAAAATCCCAGAGTTAGTCTGAAGAGGAGCTGTTATTAAATATATTGGCAATCATTGGGCCACCAATACTGTGTCATTCCCTTACTGAACAGCAAATTGGGAAGAATGGAAGTGGAGACCAAAGCGGCAGTTTCATTGATACCTGTAAGTGTGTATCAGAAGCAGCTGAGTCACCCTGTTTAAAGTTTTTGAGAAGATTTGTAGCTCGGGTTGTGGAGGAGGTTGTAGACCTGCTCACCAAGCCGGTGGGTTTGGTTGCAAATGTTTTGTCACCCTGCTAGGTAACATTGTCAGTGCGCCTCTGGTGAAGCGTTGATGTTCTGTCCCATTTGTTATTTATATGTCTCAGTTTGCTGGGATGGTTGGTATTACTTCCGGTTCTGTTTCTCAGTGGTTTGTACACCGGGTCTAATTCAATGTGTTTGTTGATGGATTTTAGGTGGAATACCAGGTCTCCAGGAATTCCCTGGCGTGTCTTTGTTTGGCTTGTGTGATTATGGATGTGTTATTCCGGTCAAATTCGTGTCCCTCGTTGTCCACGTGTAGTGAGACCAGTGAGAATTGGTCGTGTCTCTTAGTGGCTACTTGGTGTTTGTGTATCCTTATTGTCAGTATCCTTCCAGTTTGGCCTCAGTTGCGTTTCTCACCGTCCTTGCACAGGATTTTGTATATTACCCCAGTTATGCTGGTTTTGGGTATGGGATCCTTTACGGTCGTCAGTAGCTGTTGTAGGGTGTTGTTGGTTTGTGGGTTACTCTGTTACCTAGTGGTCTGAGTAGTCTTGTGGTCATCCCTGAAATGTCCCTGATGTATGGTAGGGTGATAAGCGATTCTGGTCATGTTGTGCCTTCCTGTTGTGGTCTGTCTCAGAGGTAACGGCGGATTTGCTTTCCGGGTATCCATTTCTTTTGAAGACTTCGTATAAGTGCTCCTGTTCTGCTTTGCGTGACACCTCGTAGGGTGATGAAACATTTGCAACCAAATTCACTGGCTCAGTGAGCATGTCTACAATCTGAATCACATTGTGCTGCAAACCTTCACAAATTGTACTAAGAACATATGCAGTCAAAGTTGTGCCTTTAAGGGGTTGTATCAATGTGAATGTTCAGTTATATGGTCAGTCTCAAAATTTGTACTTACTTGTCATAGAAAATTTTCCACCTTTATTGGGAAGAACATGTTTGAAGAAAATCAAAGTCAATTGGGCTGAAGTAAATTGCTTGCTAGATTGTGGGACTGATCTATCACAAATTCTAAAGAAACATGTCATTGTTTTCAATGAGGATCTGGGAAGCATGAAAAAGGTCTCTGTCAAATGGAAGATCAAAAATGAGAATCAAGCAAGATGTTGCAAGGCTGGATCGATGCCTTGTGCAATTAGACCAAAGGACAGGGCAGATTTAGAGATGCTGATCAAGACAGGGGTCCTTGAAGCCATAAATGCATCTGGACCCTTGCAACCATTCTCAAGTTGTTACACAATTTATTATGCCACAACAGGAATTGGAAGTGGAGAGTTTTCACACAAGCAACTGAGACTTTATTAAAGTCAGGTGTCCTAACCCATTTTGACCCAAATTTACTGTTGCAATTAACATGCGGTACATCATGTATGGAGTAGGACCAGTTGTTTCTCACATATGATCCAATAGTGAGGAGAAGCCAATATCTTTTGCATCAAGATTGTTAAACAAAGCAGAAATGTATTATGCACAGACAGAGAATGAAGCTCTAGGAATCATTTCTGACATTAGATGATTCCACCAATATCTGTATAACCAGGAATTTACTCAACTAATAGACCACAGACCGTTGATCATAATATTTGGCCTCGTACAGGGATGCCTTCTCTAGCAGAGCCGTATGCAGAAGTGGACATTGTTGCTGTCAGCTCACAGTTATACAATTAAATATCAGCATTCCAACTTATGTAGGAAAGCTGACAGGCTCTCAAGATTGTCTTTGCTAAATGAGTTGACTACAAACAGACCTCGTGTAGATATTTTCCACTTCAAACAAGTAGAGAGCACTCCAGTAATGGCAGTACATGTTCAGATGTACACCAGAAATATTCCACTACTGTCAAAAATGATGGACATGGTACTTTGTGGCAAGATTACAGGAACAACCCCAAATCTGAAGCCATATGTTACACGAAAGCTAGAAAGATCTGTAAAAGCAGGATGTCTCCTGTGGGGAATGAGGGATATCATTCCACCACAGCTAAGGGAACGTGGGTTAAATCAACTACACAAAGGTCACTGTGGCATTGTCTAATTGAAGGAGATAGCCAGAAGTTATTTTGGTGACCAGGACTCGACTCCAAAATTGAGAAGGCAGGAATATGAGCAGCTTGCACAAGACTTCACAACCAACTCTATTAGCTCCAGTACATTTGTGGGAATGGCCAGAAAGGCCTTGGCAAAGATCTGTATTGACTACCTTTTGAAGGGTAAATGTTTTCCATATTGATTGACGCACAGACTAAATGATCTGAAGTTTCCATCATGAAGATGACATCTTCAGAGAAAACTATTGTAAGATTGGGAGTCATATTTGCAAGGTTTGGTTATCCAGAACAGCTAGTTAGTGATAATGGTCCACAGTTTTTTTTATCCTCAAGAGTTTACAAACTACCTAAAGCAAAATAGAATTCAACATATCTGATCAGCCCCTTAAATCCCACCCATGAATGGTTTGGCTGAAATGTTTATTCAGACAACGAAACATTCCTTATAGGTAACTCAAGAACAAGGAGCACTATCCACAAGACTCAGCCAATTTCCATTAACATACGGGAACACAATCCACTAGGCGACTCAAAGTTCTCTGGCGTTGCTCATGGTAATGCATCAGTTGTACATAGCATTTGATTTGCTGAAACCACCATGACAAACGACCTTGTTGACAGGAAAGAACCGAATCAGGTTTTCCGACAAGAGAACAAGACCAAACACTACCAAACACTGTTTTCCAAAAAGGTCAAGAAGTATCAGTGATGAGTTACACCACCTGGTGAGAAGTGTGTACCAGCCATCATTGTAGCACCGACTGGACTGGTCTCCTTCACCATACAGACGAGAGGTGCTGTAGAATGGAGTAGATGTGCAGATCAACTCTCAGCAACCAGAGCGAATGTGCCGGATGCAATATTAACTGAAGATCCATAAATAACTGCCAAATAGAGACCTGGAGATCAGAATAGTAACTGGAGCATCTGAGGGAGACTGTATCTTAGTGGAGAATACCATGACATTTTGTGAACCTATTAAGTATTCAGTAGACTCAGGAAAAGACAACGACAGATGTTCCTATTCTACCTAAAACACCAGAAGTTAAAGCCAATGAGAAAAATAAACAGACATCTGTGGTGTGCCAACAGCCACACAGGAATTGGCTTTCTCTGGTATGATTTATCTCCTGACTTGTATGTATGATTGTAAAAAACATGAATGTTTCCATTGCAGAAACTTCTGATATAAGAGGGTGGGGGTTTGTTGTGTATTTGATAAGTATGATGGACTGTCACTTTTTCGGTCCAATCACTTAACATAATGATGATATTATTGGCCATTTTTGGGTGGGGAACAGTTTAGTCTAACCTTGCTGCCTGTAAACACCTTGATAATAAAGCACCTGTTGTTAACACTTCAGCCTCCTGGTCTTTATTGGAATGCAACACATAGCTAGTCTGCCTAACCTGAGACTGCACACTGACAGTAATGGGGTTGATTCTTAACTGCCCTTTGAAATGGTCAATCAAGGCATATAGTTCAAAAGCAATTATGGACGGGTAGCAAATACTGGCCTTTCTACCCAGACCCAATTCACTTGTTAATTAAGTGGGCAAATGCAGCAGGGCCTTGCGTAGAAGATAATACCTCAAACAGTGCAGCACTGCATCGGTACGGAAATGGTGAAGCTGTTGATATTAAATGCTCAGAACTGAAACAAATTCTCTGCAGAAGGACATGAAATGCTAATTTTTTTGTTTTAGAACAGATGGATTTTTACTGTCTTATTCCTATCCTTTCCATTCCTTCAATTTTAGTAAATTTGTATTTGTCCAATGAAACAAATCTATTTATTTAGCACCTCATTATTTCCATGCAATATGGCATTTCAGAGTACTAATGGCATCAGTACATCTAAAATGATTATCAATTAATAGACCCATGTTTTGTATTTAAAATATCTACAAAATTTCCAATGAGCTTCTTCATTGAGGAATAAATTAAACCTATATCTGAAGATGATCTGTGATCAAGGAAAACCCTAAAGCTTTCTATAGGTATGCCAGGAATAAAAGAATGACTAGAGTAAGATTGGGGCCGGTCAAGGACAGTAGTGGGAAGTTGTGCGTGGAGTCCGAAGAGATAGGAGAGGTGCTAAATGAATATTTTTCGTCAGTATTCACGCAGGAAAAAGACAATGTAGTTGAGGAGAATACTGAGATACAGTCTATTAGACTAGACGGGATTGAGGTTCATAAGGAGGAGGTGTTAGCAATTCTGGAAGGTGTGAAAATAGATAAGTCCCCTGGGCCGGATGGGATTTATCCTAGGATTCTCTGGGAAGCTAGAGAGGAGATTGCAGAGCCTTTGGCTTTGATCTTTATGTTGTCATTATCTACAGGAATAGTGCCAGAAGACTGGAGACTAGCAAATGTTGTCCCCTTGTTCAAGAAGGGGAGTAGAGACAACCCTGGTAATTATAGACCAGTGAGCCTTACTTCGGTTGTGGGTAAAGTGTTGGAAAGGATTATAAGAGATAGGATTTATAATCATCTAGAAAGGAATAATTTGATTAGGGATAGTCAACACGGTTTTGTGAAGGGTAGGTCGTGCCTCACAAACCTTATTGAGTTCTTCGAGAAGGTGACCAACCAGGTGGATGAGAGTAAAGCGGTTGATGTGGTGTATTTGGATTTCAGTAAAGCGTTTGATAAGGTTCCCCATGGTAGGCTATTGCAGAAAATGCGGAGGCATGGAATTGAGGGTGATTTAGCGGTTTGGATCAGAAATTGGCTAGCTGTAAGAAGACAGAGGGTGGTGGTTGATGGGAAATGTTCATCCTGGAGTTCAGTTACTAGTGGTGTACCTCAAGGATCTGTTTTGGGGCCACTGCTGTTTGTCATTTTTATAAATGACCTGGATGAGGGCGTAGAAGGATGGGTTAGTAAATTTGCGGATGACACCAAAGTCGGTGGAGTTGTGGATAGTGCAGAAGGATGTTGCAGGTTACAGAGGGACATAGATAAGCTGCAGAGCTGGGCTGAGAGGTGGCAAATGGAGTTTAATGCGGAAAAGTGTGAGGTGATTCACTTTGGAAGGAGGAACAGGAATGCAGAGTACTGGGCTAATGGTAAGATTCTTGGTAGTGTGGATGAGCAGAGAGATCTCGGTGTCCATGTGCATAGATCACTGAAAGTTGCCACCCAGGTTGATAGCGTTGTTAAGAAGGCGTACAGTATGTTAGGTTTTATTGGTAGAGGGATTGAGTTTCGGAGCCATGAGGTCATGTTGCAGCTGTACAAAACTCTGGTGCGGCCGCACTTGGAGTATTGCGTACAGTTCTGGTCACCGCATTATAGGAAGGATGTGGAAGCATTGGAAAGGGTGCAGAGGAGATTTACCAGGATGTTGCCTGGTATGGAGGGAAGGTCTTATGAGGAAAGGCTGAGGGTTTTGAGGCTGTTTTCGTTAGAGAGAAGAAGGTTAAGAGGTGACTTGATAGAGACATACAAGATGATCAGAGGATTAGATAGGGTGGACAGTGGGAGCCTTTTTCCTCGGATGGTGATGGCTAGCACGAGGGGACATAGCTTTAAATTGAGGGGTGATAGATATAGGACAGATGTCAGAGGTAGGTTCTTTACTCAGAGAGTAGTAAGGGCGTGGAATGCCCTGCCTGCAAAAATAGTAGACTCGCCCACTTTAAGGGCATTTAAATGGTCATTGGATAAACATATGGATGATAATGGAATAGTTTAGGTTAGATGGGCTTCAGATTGGTTTCACAGGTCAGCGCAACATCGAGGGCCGAAGGGCCTGTACTGTGCTGTAATGTTCTATGTTCTATGTTCTATGTTCTAATATTGTAGTGAATTTTTGGTTTGCATTCATAATTGCCCCTTTGTCTCTTGAGTTGACTACTATGGTCATGTCACTGTAATAAAAGACTAAGTGAATGACAGCTGCTACTCCACAACGAAGAGTGGATCCATAGGAGGATTGTCATAGGACAGCTTTTTCTCTAACTGCAGTTTAAGGTATTGTTAATTGATGTCTGGGATTAAATTACCACGCACATCCTCTTCTTTTGTGGTCACAAGAAACAAGACAAAGTTCCTCAGCATAAAAGAAAATTAAAAGTAAATTTGGTAACTTGTTGAAGTTGTATTTCTGGCTGCTCAAAATATTTATTTTAAACTTGGCTGTTCCAGAGGACATCTTTCCTTGTAAATCCTGTGGGATTTGGTATCGAAGTGAAAGAAACCTACAAGCTCACCTGATGTATTACTGTGCTAGCCGGCAGAAATCTACATCGACTCCTCCAGAAGAAAAGCTCAAGGATCCTTCTCCACATGAGCGCATCTGTCCCTTCCCGCAATGCAACAAAAGCTGTCCCAGTGCCAGTTCCCTGGAAATTCACGTTCGTAGTCACAGTGGTAAGTAAATTTACATCTAAGGATAAATTATTTTAATACAGCCCATGTCCTTTTGTGAAATACCTTAGTTGTAGGATCGGGTAACAAGATGCTGGACTGCAGTCTAATTTGACAACAAACAAAATATAGAAAACTTCAAATAGTGAGACAGAAGTGAATATTAATTAAAACATCATTACTGGAATATATACACTTGAAGGAGCCATGTGCTTTATTTTGATATTGTTAGTTTGAAGTCAAAACAACCAATTTTAAAAGAATGGCAGTCAGAACAAATTTATCAAGCCAAAGTTCATGAACACCATAAACTTGTATTGACTGATACTTTCTTTAAAACAGACTCATGAACATAAAAACTAACAGCAAGAGTAGGCCATTCACCCTTCAAGCCTGCTGTAGTGTTCAGTAAAATCCTGGTTGATCTGATTGTAGCCTGAAGTCCACTTTCCTGCCCACCCCACAACCATTTGACTCCTGTATTAGTCAAGAATCTATCTACTTCTTCCTTTAAAAATATTCAGTGACTCTGCCCCTGCCACTTGCTGCAGAAAAGATGGCCACAAAGTTTCAACTTTGAGAGAAAAATATCCTCCTCATCTCTATTTTAAGGGAGACGCCTTACTTTGTTCCCCTTGCTTTCTCAGTTCAAGTTTCTGCGACAAGTGGGAATATTTTTTCAGCATCCACCATCAAGTCTCATCAGTATCTTGTATGCTTCAGTAAGTTCAGCTGTTATTCTTCGAAACTCCAATGGCTACAAATCCAACCTGGCCAACCTTTGCTCATACAAAAACTTCTTCATTCCAGGAATAGTCAATTGAACCTTCTTTGCACTGCTTCTAATATCATTTTGACCTTTCTTAAGTAAAATTTAGTAAGTGTTTATGCGCAGTCCGAGTGTTGTGCAACATAAGGCCGACATAGTAACAATTCAAAAATCCAAAGACATGTTTTCTTAGACAATTAACCATATAGCGTATTCAAATCTGGGAGTAATGGCCTGAGTTCCAGAAATAATAATTTGTGGTTCTGGCTTTGGTGACATGTTAGTGATGTTATGGCCACTAAAAATAGTTGCATTCCACACACAAGGTGCCAAAAGCACTGAAAATACGTACCGTGAAGGTCAGAATTTGGCAGCTATTTCAAATATCCAGTAACACAGTAGCAGTCCAAGATTTGCATAATGATGAATTCCTGAAAAGTTTTGAGTTGATTCATATCACTTGTGTGTTGAATTTTAAGTTAGGTTTGTTCTTGTGTAAAATTAATTATTTGAAATGTGACTCCAATTGTAGTTAGTTGTCATGGATTATTGAAACAAATGTTTACTTTCCTTTCTAACTTTTTAATTTCTTCCTCTTTTTGGCTGATCCATTGGTTTAACAACTGTATTGTATGATTGTGCAGTTTTGTATTGTATTTAGAATGCACAAATGATTCTTTTGCTTTGTTTAAATTACAAAATGTGAATGATTATGTATAGCTAAACAATGGTGCAAGTTTGCTATCTTCCAAATAAATAATTTCTGAACCCAAAAGCACTTAAATTAAAAGTTTTAGCAATTCCAAAACTTCCCCATTATGGGGTTATGGGCCAAATACTGGCAAAGGGGACTAGGTGAGATTGGGATGTCTGGTCGGCATGGACAAGTTGGACTGAAAGATCTGTTTCCATAGTGTGTGAATCTATGACTGTATTCCTTCAATAAATGACCACTGAGTTGTACCTTTCAACTTAATAAAGTTCTAGGTATAATCTTTTAACACGACCATTAAACCTTAAGTAGCAACCTGTTGGTTGGTGTCAGCCTTGGTTCAGTCATAGCACTGTTGCCACTGAGTCAGACTTGAGCATGTACTTTAAACTGATATTTGAATGGGTGGTAAGTGAGTTTAATTTAAGTTTAAAATGTTTCTTTTTTTTAATGATGTTAAATCAATATGCTGTCCACCTTCTCAGATGAACATAAAAAATCCCATGAAGGTGCTTAAAGTAGAACAGGTGTGTTCTCCCAATGTTTGTCAGTTCTTTTTTCTCCATCAGCATCACAAAGACAGATTGTCTGATCATTTATCCTGAAATTTGTGGGGCCCTGCTATGTGCAAATTGATTGTCAACTTGCCCTGCTATTGTTGATACAGTTGTCATTAATTAGCTATGCATGAATTTGGAACACGTTAAGGTTGTGAAAGATGTCATGTAAATGCAAGTTCAGTATATTTTTCACAAGCTTCTGGGCAAATATCTATTTTGAGAAGTACATCACAAAATGTAGCCTCCCATCAGGCAATTGATTTTAGCTCCCCAAAACAGTTGTACAGAATTTGCAGTATTTCCACATGACTCTGCTTTTCAGTAAGCTACTTTTAAGTCATGTTTACTCCAAATAATAACTCCAATGTTTAACAAGATTGAAACAGTAGTTGAAACAGTAGTAGAAGCAGGAAAGTTTCACCAGATGAAGTGGAAAATTCCAACACAGCAACAGTGAAGTTGCATAATTTGACTTCTAATTCACCATGTGATTTCAGAACTTCACAGTAGGTTATTACTGCTCACAATGAGTGGCAACATATTTACTTTAATTGGACTGAAAGGTAAGGGCAGATTGTTTGGCCACAATTTATGGACTGTTTTGGAAAATCCAAGTTCGGTTAAGCACTGAAAAAGTGAAGAAATTTGAAAGGAATGTACCATAATGAAAACAAAAATAAACAGTTCGGTATTTTGGACAATGAATGAGTTCCATATTCACCTGTGTTCCCAAACCTCATTGCATCGGCAGCCATCTGGAATAATATGAACAGACCATTTGGCCTAAATATTTGGCTCAGTCAGCTCAAAGAAAGACAGAAAATAAGTGTTGGGGCAGGCCATTCAGCCCTTCAAGCCTGGTTTTTCAATCAAAATGATCCTGGTTGATCATCCAACTCAGTACCCTATTCCGTCTTTCTCCCCATACCCTTTGATCCTTTATAGCCTGAAGGACTATATTTAACTCTTTGTAAACATTCAGTGTTTTAGCCTCAACCATTCTTGGTGACAGAAAATTTCATAGGCTCACCACTTTCTGGGTGAAGAAATTTCTCTGAATTTTGGTCCTAAATGGCCTAACTTCATCCTTAGACTGTGACCCCTGGTTCTAGACTGCCTGATCATTGGGAACATCCCTCCTGCATTTACACCATCTAGTCTTATTAGAATTATGTATGTGAGTGTTTATGATCCACTCAAGCTGCTGCTCATCATCTGTCATATAACTCAATCACCATAACCCTCAATTCATTTCTCCCTTAAGTACATTTATGTTAGTAACTCAAGAAACTTCCGTGGTAGCAAGTTTCATATTCTCATCATCCTCTTGGTTAAGAAGTTTCTTCTGAATCCTGATTTAATTTATCAATGACTACTTTATATTCTAGTTTTGTTCTTCTCCATAATTAGACGCACTGTATCTACTGTGTATCAAAATTTATCAGAATTCTATTAAGTCACCCCTTAAGCCTAAGAGAAGGTTCTTGCACATCTAAGTTTCACCGACTTCGAATTTGTAATGTAGCTTCTCTGGAATTTTCATATAAAATAGAATTACGACGCTTCTCACCTGTTTACTTGGACTCCACTGTCAGATGGGAATTTGATGGTGGTGATATTGAAGCAGCGATATGATAAAACACAGAATGCTGGAGGCACAAGTTCATGCATATTATCCAGTACAGCTCACTGGGGTAGCACACTGAAAATTGAGCCGCACTGTTCCTGGAGTCATCACAAAAGTTCAAAAAAATTATCAAAGTACGCAAAGTCCCAGTTCACCTGCCTGATAGACTCAGACTGGGGTTAACAGAAAACACAGACCAAGGTTTTGTACTTAACTTGAACTACTATTTACTACAAATAAGTAGTTCTACAGGTCAACAACTATGAATTGTCAGCATATACCTTATTAGTTAAAACTCTTACCCTCATCTAAAACCCCCTTACACTCTCTCTTTATCCCTCTCACACACACACAGACGCACAAGAATTTGGTATTATGGAGGTGTTATTTTTGGAGGAGGGAGAAAAAGTGCTGGAGAAACTGATCAATGGCACCTGACCTCTGGATTCATTGCAGGGGTCCCTTTTGTTTCCCAGGTCCTTCAGCTTCTTTCACTTTTCGCAGGAGGTACAGACCAGCTAGTTCACAAATTATAAAGTTTCTAACATATTGGTTAATGTCAACAGCTTGCAGCAAGTGGTCGGAGAAAATCTCTAACTACAAGTGTTTACAGGAAAGACAGACAGAGCATGACACCACCTCCCCTTCCAGAGGTATGAAGGCTTCCGTCTGCATAATTTCCACCCACAAACTGGTCACAATTTCACAAACCAATCAGCTATTTGTTGCTGGTCAAATTTTACTTGGTACAGAAATTGTTTCCCAATTTAGTCCTCAATCAAAACTAAAAGTAAAATTAGAAGTTTTCACAGATAAATGTAAACAGTATTACTATAGTAGACAGTGGAAATAAAATAAATTAACAATCTTGTTTGTTTGTTAATTTATTTTATTTCCACTGTCTACTATAGTGATACTGTTTACATTTATCTGTGAAAACCGTGAAATCTTTAAATTTTACTTTATTATTTACTATTTTATTTCCTACCTCATACCAAATGTAACCAGCTTTCAAGTAGTTTTTCCAAGCTAGTACGTGATTAGAGTTTACATTTTAATTGGATTCACAGTGGCTATTTCATGTTTAGACAAACATTTCTGAATAAGTAGTTTAGCCCATATGCAACATGCAAAGTAAACCAAGTTGAGAGAGATAGTCGGAACTGCAGATGCTGGAGAATCTGAGATAACAAGGTGTAGAGCTGGATGAACACAGCAGGCCAAGCAGCATCATAGGAGCAGGAAAGCTGACATTTCGGGCCTAGACCCTTCTTCAGAAAATCAAGTTGAGAATATGGTTTACCTCAATATGTAGGAATTTTTGTCTTTTATGAATACAGTTCCTTTCCAGAGCTACTAACTTCACTACTTCGTAAAGGATTTGTGCATATCCCACTTCTGTAGCTTATAAATGATTGTAATGAAGTGGATTTGTGAGAGAGGAGGAGAATGTAAATCGATAGTCAGAGGGTTTCCTCTGTGCTCCAGTTTCCTCCCACAGTCCAAAGATGTGCAGGCTAGGTGGATTGGCCATGCGAAATTGCCCATAGTGTTCAGGGATGTGTAGATTAGGTGGATTATAGGGGGATGGGTCTGGGTGGGATGCTCTAAGAGTTGATGTGGACTTGTTGGGCCAAAAGGCCTGTTTCCACACTCGGGATTCTAAGTCTAAATCTAAGTCTAAACTAAAGTAAAGTTTTGGTCTTTATTTTGGGCTGAAAAAGTGAATCCTGGGATGAAATTAAGAAAACCAACAAACACATTGAGGTAGAAAAGTGTTGGCCTGAGCCGTATGAAATATTAAAACAAAATAAAGAACTGTGGATGCTGGAGATCTGAGACAAAAACAGAAAGTGCTTGAAGAAACTCAGTAGGTCCGGCAGCATCTATGGAGAAAAAGACAAAGTTTATGTTTTAAGCCCAGATTCTGACAAAGCAGTGATATGATATAACACAGAATGCTGTAAAAAAACCTGAAGCTAAAGAAATCTCCACAGACACTGCCAGACCTGCTGAACTTCCCCAGTATCTTGTTTTTATTCTTCATGAAATATTCGTTTCTCTAGTCCTGTATTCTTCTGTGCAACTCTGGGGGAGTTACTTCTTTGAAATTCTGTGACTTAACACAATAACCATCTGAGAGCATGAAAACGATCTTCATTGAGATGTTACCCAGTGTCAAAAAGGGCTCTTTAAAAATTGCAAATGTCGTGTATACGTCAGACGTGTCTCAAATGGAGCTCCAATATGACCGGTGACTTCATCTCCAAATGTTACTTTTTTAAAAAACTGGTTAACCCCTCTGGGGACATACCTTGCTACACATTGATGGTGAAATTCACTAATTATGGGTTTTATTATATGGAATTGAAATATTTCTTTTGACATCCGAGTGGCCAAACAGTTGAAGATAAAAAAAGGCAAGTACATATGGCCTCACCTGAGTAAAAATGATAAATGGTAACAGTTGGGGAATGTGTAACATTAGAAATGAAAATGGAGCTAGAGGAAAGAGGCTGGGAGAGTTGGGGGGGGTGCAATATGTTAAAGTAGTGGAATTAGATTCCTATAATATTGCAGGACAAGAAAGGAGATTCTACAATAAAGAAATTTAAATTGATGTGGAATTAATTTTCAAGCTGCATCAATTCAGCTTGAACTGAATTAAATAATGAAGTGGTACCTATCTATACATACTGACTTTGCAGTATTTTCTGTAAAGTAGACAAAATAGAAAATGAGTGCTGGACTTATTTCATGTTCACTATTTTAAAAAATTATGCCTTTCAATTTTTTTCATTGTCTTTGGTTTTCAGACTGTTGTTTGTTCTCTTATTAATCAGGTGAAAGGCCATTTGTGTGTCTAATCTGTCTGTCAGCATTTACAACAAAGGCAAACTGTGAGCGACACCTGAAAGTACACATGGACACCCTAAATGGTAATTTACTCTTCAAGCCAGAAATCCTATCTACTTGGATTTTTAGTTTCTAGATTCCCCCGTGTAATATATTACTTACTCACAGGTTATGGTGTGCACTGATGAATCATATTCAAAATATTAGATACTGTTCAATTCAAATAAATCTTCTCCGAAGTATCACGCATTGTTCAATTCACTTGTTTGAACTGGATGATAGTAATATCAAATAAATAATTCAAATGCTTAATTAAAACCCATGCACTTTCACCTCCTCTTTAAATCTGCTAACCATCACACATTCAAAGATGGGAGTGGGACTAATTTCCTGAGTATCCAGTGTGAGAGGTAAAATAGATTGTGTATTCCAGACTCTCTCTAGCTTTCCATCCACTCGATGGAAACTTTTGTGTTAATATGATGGTTCATCTGGTGATCAGAGTTCAGCTGGCTGATACTGCCTCCTCTAAATATTAGACAGCCATGAGATTAAAACCCAGATGTTCTGATTCAAAGGCAAGTAGTTTATATATCGTTGTTCTTCCAGACAGGCGCAAGCCATACCTCCAAGCTCAGCTAAATTGGCAAAGTCATAATCATATTTACACTTTGGGCCCTTGTCCAATTTGCTTGAAAGCTTTCTTTATTCCAATCGTATTTATTTTTATAAGGTTTGGGAAATCTTTATCGGGAACATTTTGGTTTAGGAAAAACATAATTCTATTTCAGGAAAAATGAAATCTCTAAGTAAAATGAATTTTGCTTTTTGTATTTTTCTTTAACTAAAGTTTATACAGTTGTTTGATTTTTGAATAGCATAGATTAGTGAAGAATAATGAAGGCCAATTAATGCATTTTCACCAACACTGTTACTTGAGAAGTACAGGTTGTGGATATGCAAGTCAGTAATGTAAAGGTATAACGTGAACTGCATTGGCTACCAGACCACAACCAGAATGCCTCATTTTCAGCTATTTTGATTACCTGCCACCATCTTAGCTCTGGTTCAGCTCAGCACAAAGTAAAAATATAACTTAAACTGAACTTTTGTGTGCAAAAACTAAATGGAATTTGTTTTTCATGCCCTACTTCAGATGATGTCTACCTTTATTAATCCAGAATGCAGTTTTCACCGCCTCGATTGTATAAAATAACAGTAATATGTTGAAGTCTAAAGTAGTCACCTAAATCTAAAAATGCACTTAAGTTCTACTTTGAATAGTTTACTAAATAATTAAGTGCTTATAGGTGCTTAATTGCTTAAGTGCTTATATAGTTCCTTCTTACCTCATAATTCTACAAGCGTTATTCGTTAAAATTCTGAAAGTTTAAGTTGTTGCTTTCTGTGCCTCTCAAGAAAAGGTTATTTGTTCCCATCTCTCAGCAAATAACAATTCAATGATACTAAATAAAGAATGAAAAATACCTTTCACAAGTACAGGATGTTGCCTAGATGCTTTTCTGCAAGTGAATTAGTGTTCAATTTTGGTCACTGAATATTCTTAACTACTAAAAGAAAAACACTAATTAACATACGGCAACATCCTACGTACAATAATGAGATGAAGGCTATGGCATTTGTGTCAGGCTCTTGTGGTGCAGAGGTCTCTACCTCTGGGCCAAAAGGCCCAGGTTCAAATCCCACCTGCTCCACAGGTATGTAATATCATTAGAAACTGTCATGGTATTTGTGCTGCCTATTAGAGCGTACACTTTTTGCACTTATGTAAGTGCATTGTCGTTGCCCAAGAAATCAAAGCTGTCTAGTTAAAAGCAAACAAGGGCAGCATAGAAAATACACCATCATTCTGGGTACCTCTCCTCTCTGGCTTGTGCAATTTGCGAAGAAATCCCGGCAGCCCCTCACATCCTCCCACATCACCCTTCACCCCTCCATCTTCTGGTCCCTAGTTTGGTTGCTGTCCTTCTTCTGGATTGGGTCTGGGGGAGTTGCAGGGAACAGTGAGATGCAGGAGAAGAAACTGGGAGGAAGCAGAAGCTGAGATTTTCAGATCCTTAATGATGACAGAAGTGTTGGAAACAGGCAGCTGGAATGGGGGCTGATTTCCTTGTTCCCAGTTAACAGCAGCAGGTGTTGGATATAGAGAGAAATGATTGACTAGTTTGCATTATTTTGGAGCTGGTTAAGTAGCACCTTGGAATCATTAGCATGCATCCAAGAAATCGGATAGGGGTTTAATTAATTGTCTTACACAGGAGGGAAGACCTTCAGCAAGACTACTACCTCAGAATCTAAGTGGTATGTTTCAAGCATTAGTTTATAAGATATCTTATAAGGAAAGAGGAAGTTCGGTGTTTACAAACTGAATGCTGTCAGCTGGATCGAAATATCCCATACAGTAATGTCAGAAAGATGCCTTCGAGAAGTGTTTGACCAACCAAGTAATGAAAGGAGTATTTTCAATTTACACTGAATTCGGAGAACTGTCTTTTCTGTCATTTGGAGTGAATATAGTTCACCTCTTTTTCAGGCTGAAGGCTCTTTTTCAGATTGTAAGGTTTGACTCTGTTCTGGTGGGGGAGAGTGTGCTTTCACTTTCAGATCCCTTGGTTCTTTTGCTTTGCGGCATCGTGAACTGGTGGCTGCATGACTTCAGTTCTGGCTTGGGCCTTCTGCAGAGTGGCAATCACCATCTGATTACTGCTCAGATCGAATTGTTCTACAGCTCCATCGTGCTGCACATTTCTTGCCAGGCCTTCTGATCCTGACCACTCCAGAAATGTGGAGCGTGGCATTCATCAAAGAGCGGTGTTCTGTTCTGACACGGCTTCTTTTTTACGGCACTGGTTGCCATGTGGTAATTTAAAGGCCCAGTGTGACCGTGAGTGGCTGAATGAGTGAATGGGTAGGTAGATGAGGTAAGCAGTCAGGTGACAGGCAGGTGGGTGGGTGAGTCAGGTTGGGGTTAACATGGTGTAGAGGGGTAGCTGGGTGGCTGGAGAGGTTGTTGTGTCAGTGTGGGTTGGGGGTGGCAGTTAGTCATCAGGCCTGGTGTTAGTCAGGGTAGATACATATAGTCATGGTGGTTGAGGTTGGTAGTTGAGTGATTGGCAGATATCAAGGGAGAGGTGCAGAGTACTTATATGAGATGGGGGAATTCATTTGTGCAATTATCCTCTGTTGGACTAGATTTTAAATTGTCTAATTTATCAATTCAAAAATTTCTATCTGTAACTTGGGAGTCAGAGATATTCACATAAGGTTCCAGGAGGCAAGGGAATTGCTCATCAGAAATTCATACTTTCTGGGCTATTTCCATGGACATGAGTGCTTTGGAACCCCATTAAGTCATACATCAGCTCTCTTATGATCTGGTGAGCAAACATTCTGAGACTCTGAATATGATACACCCAAAAATGCAAGTGTCATAGGTCATTCTCCTTGTGAACCAACTCATGGCCTGCTGAAAGAATAGTCAGTGATATATATGCTCAAGTTCCTCAAGTTCAGACAGGCATTTTTGTAGTCCTTTTCATGTTCCAAGGTACCCAATGGCCAATGATGCATTTTTGAAGTGAGATCATTGTATAAGTGTAGGAGTCAATTTGCACACAGCAAGTATTCACAAAGTGATAATTGCCAGACAATTTGCTTTTTGCAATTTTAATTTGAAGGCTACATATTGGCCTGGGCATATTCAAAGATGAGCATGAGTATAGAATGATAGGATCTTATACACACACCTGAGAGGCCACGGATGATCTTTGTTTAGCATCTCACTGGAAAGATTTGCGTTATTTCTGGCATGGCAATGGAGTCACAGCCTAGATTTAGAGCATACCTTCCTGGAGTAAGACTTCAGTATGCAGCTATCTGATTCAAGCAAGAATGCTAACACTGGGCCACTCCCAATGAAAGGTCAAAATAAGCAGGCAGTGAAAATGCTGATTGGGCGAAACTTAGACACTTGGTCTTTGTTTGAGATGAAAGAAACAATAAGCTGATTGTTTTTTAAAAAATTCTGGAAGAAACGACATCATTACCTTTCATTTTTGTGACATAGTTCTTGGACCTAATTATATGTCCTTCAAAGTTGCACCTCCAGCTTTGTCCATAATTGAGCAGCTCCATTAGCTGCTTCACTACCTCATCTCATTGTTGCTTGATGCAGCTAGATTGCTGCAATTACGCCTGTGTTCAGAATTGGGCTCCCCAAAATGGGGCTAGGGCCTGTTGTCAAATCCGCTTCCTGCCCTATTCCATAGCCCTCAGTTAGGAGTCATGAGAATTTTCAGGCCTTGATATGGTGTCAAAACAGGGTTGGGGGTGGCAATCTTTGAGAAATGAAGACTTTGGTGCAGCTTGGTGAATCAAGTGGGAGGGTCTGGGAGCTGAGCTATCATTAACAATGTCCAAGTTAAAATGACTGTTGGGAGAAGTCAGAAACTATATCCTCAAAAGAGAGGAGCTGAAATCCCTCATCATGAAAACGTGCTTAACGAATAATGTGACTGATGGTGGTTGTTGACATCTAGATGGATTGCTGAGAAATTTGAGGAATCTGTTTTGGTTGTGTCTGCCACTTAACGTGCAGTTGGTGTGTTTTTAGTTTGCCTGTTAATTCATGTTTGCATCATGTTAATTCTTGGTGATAGTGTGTAATATCCACCGTATTGGCTATTTGCTTTGTTAACTCATGTACAGTATAAATTAAAACTGTGGAAACTTGTTCTTTTGTTCCTTTGATAAACCAGGATTTCTAATTTTGTCTACCTTAAAACAAAAGTTATTGCTGCCTACCAAGTTGTATCAAAACTTGGAAATTTAGTCTGGGATCATAACAAAGGGCATGAAGGTGACAGGACGTATTGAGGGAATGGTTAATAAAGCATCTGGACTTTATCAAAACAGACATCGAGTACAAAATAGGGAAATTGTGTTAAACCTGTATGAAACACTGGAGTATTGTATCTAGTCCTTGGCACCGCAGTTTAGAAAGGATATGAAGACATTAGGGAGAGTGCAGAAAACATTCATGACAATGATTTGGGGATGAGGAACTTCAAATATGTAAAAAGATTGGAGAAGCTAGAACTGTTCTCTTTGGAGAAGAAATGGTTGAAAGAAGCTTTGATAGAGATATGCAGCATCATGAAGCATCTGGACAGAACAGATAGGGAGAAACTGTTTCCATTGATGGAAGGATCAAGAACCAGATGGCTCAGATTTAACTTAATCAGAAGAGAAACAATGGCACCATGAAGTGCCATTTTTATTTTTTATGCAACATATGATTAGGATCTGGAAGGCATTACCTGAGAGTATGGTGATGGTACATTCAGTCGAGGCTTTCAGAATTGAATGAACTCATTACCTGAAAGGGAAACATTTGCAGATCTATGGGGAAATTGCAGAGGAGTCGCACCAGGTGTATTGCTTCTTCAGAGGGCCAGTGCAGTCATGATAGAATGAATGGCCTCTGCTGTGCTGTAATCTTTTATAAGATTTGTTTTGAGGTGGTCACTAGTTTGCTGGTTTATTAAATTTCTCTGTGGATATCATCCATAAGGCATTTGGTAAGTTTTTACATAACAGCATTTACAGAAATGAACAAGCATAGAATTGGAAGCACTGTTATGATTTGAGTTAGTAATTGGATGGGAATTCAAAGATGGACAATAGCAATAAAGGCAGCGTTCTCTGATTTGATGGGTTATGTCAAGTGGTGTTTTGAAGGATACAAATCAGTCACGCTCTAATTGAATGGCAGAATAGTCTCAGGGCTGGAAGGTGGTTGGGGTTGGGGTGGCTTACTCATATTCCATACAAGTTGCTGATTTAAACGGTAAGTCACCTAAACTTTTAAACAACAGATGTATGGTTTTGAAAATGTTAGAGTAAGGCAAGTATACATGACCTGCATCTTCTATCTAAAATTAGGAGATGGAATGGATTTAAAAACACGTATTTCTAAGGCTGTTTTGTGGTTTGTCATAGGTATTTGTCATGGCTGTGGATTTGTCTCCACCACAAGAGATACCCTGTACAATCATCTACTTATGAATCATATGACTTGCCAGCCAGGTTCAAAGGGTGACTCATATTCACCAAGGTCAGGCCTACCTCCCCTTCCCTTGACAGGTAAGCAAGGAATGAAAAGTATGCTGGAAATATCTCACTTTGGTGTCAGCTTGAAAGGACAAATACTTGCATTATATATTGAATTTGTTCCTTATTGAATATGTTACTTGTTTATTGAATGACTTACTAAATTAAGTTTTTGTAAAATTATTTTTAAATGATGAAGAACATTCATTTTCTAGTCAAATATTATGCAAGTTGTTAACCATGAAACAAGTAGTACTGACTTTTAGAAATATTTCCACTTTGCATATAATCAGGTGAATACAATTCATGTTTCTGAAAAATGCTGTTTAGAAGATTAAACAAGCTGTAAAGCTTTCTGATGTATTTTTGTTTATAATTTATTCATTACAGATGTGAAAGTGGCACATTCTTTCCTGAGCCTCAAATGTAACCAGTGTGAGTATGTTGGGGATTCTGAATCAAGCTTGCAACAACATATGTCATTGCATGTTGTACAAGACACATTTCAGTGCAATCAATGCCACAAGAAGTTAAGAAATGCTGTGGAATTAGCCAAACACATGGAACTTCATCAAGACAACGAGTCACAGAACAATATGGAGGAAACAAAGGATGAAGATGATGGGACATCTCCAGTTTTAAGTAGAGAAGTTCCTGAGGAGCTTAATATAGTAGTGAAAGTCAAAGAGGAACCTCTCAGTTTGCAGTGTGAAAGTGAAGGTGATAGGACTATGGAGGAGGGTCAGGAAAATCCCATTCCTGACCGGTCCTCCAATGTTTCCTCACCAAGAAATACATTGATAGCAAAAGTGAAATCGGAATGTTCAAGTCCGACGCAAGCGTCAAGCCCAGTCCACTGTGGGACAGGTTCAATTATGCCAGAAGGCACTGTCCTAATACCCTATATGTTCAATCATGAAACATCTACATTTCCACAAGCTTCAGAAATTTTAGCCAAGATGTCTGAGCTGGTTCACAGCAGACTAAAGCAAGGGGTCAACAATTATCCACTTCTTTATGCAGGAGCACCTATTCAAAAAGGAGCAACATGCTATGAATGTGACATTACATTCAATAATATCAACAACTACTTAGTGCACAAACGGCTCTACTGTTCTAGCAGGCACCAGCAAGTAGACAATGCTACTGTTGATGAGACAGCAAAGGATTCTACATCCATAAGTAGAGCTGAACAGCTATCTCATAGTCCAGCTTCAGGAGTGGAAAGCCAACATGCCTCTTCCTCAAAGACTGATTCTGAAAGAGACCTAAGAATATCAAATGTTGAGAGCAAACCACCAGAAGTCAAAAATGAGGACAGCGCCATGAAGGATACCTCATCAGAAGGGGAAAGCCTAAGTAGATTTAGTGAGGGCAGTCGAAGTCCAAGCAACTCTGTTGAAGATTTTGATGACGACCCTTCCAAAACTGTTTGTGAAGCCTGCAATATAAGATTTACACGACACGAAACCTATGTTGTACATAAGCGTTTATATTGTGCTTCGAGACATGACCCTCCTGTTCGTAGGCCAAATGCAGGAAAGGTGGCGTTCCTTCAGCAAACTGTACGTACGCGTAAACGTAGAAAGTTGTATGAGATCCATGGTTCTAGTCATCAGCCTCTTCTTCCACCTTCCCCAAATGAAGCATCTGTCCATAGTCCTTCAGCTGCCAGCCTTCAAAGCACTGGGCTACCTAACAATGTAGAAGCACTGAAAGTCAAGCAAGAAGCTTTCTCACTTTCTTCAAGGTCAACTGATTCTCTTTCCTTATCAACAGGTTATATGTTAACAGCTCAGTCCAGTGCAACATCATCACCAAGTTCAAGTTCAGATGTTGATGGACCAATTGATCTTAGCAGAAAGCCTCGTATTCAGGAAGAACCATTGATTCATGTTTCCCCTTTGCATCCAGCCTCTCATCTGTCAACAGACTATCATGAATGTACCTCCTGCAAAATTAGTTTTAACAATGTAGAAAACTATCTTACTCACAAAAAGTATTACTGCTCTGCAACTACTCTTCAGCACAGTAAGGTAGAGAATCTTGCCAGAGTAAAGATGCAGGCTTCTGCTACAATAAAAGCTAAAAAAAATAGGATGGAAATTACAGACCCTCAGCCACAGATGCAAACAGAGGAATTGAAAAAGAAAGATATAAGCACTAAATGTATTTTAGAAAGTCCAAACGTAGTACATGGCTCTATGACTCCAAACAACTCTCCAGGAATGTATCTCAATAGTCCAGATGCTTTGCAGGATGGGACTCAGTCATCCTCCCACGTTAAGACCTTCTCAGGGCCTCAGCGTGCTCATTCAGTCATCTGTCCCTATTGCCCACTTAATGGACCAATTGAAGGAGATCTTATTGATCATTTTAAGAACGCTCATGATTTCAAGCAGCTTTCAACTGGACACACAACAGAAGGTTTCATGCAGGATATTTCATCACAGAGTAAACTCATGACGAACAATATTTCTGAAGTCAGTCCTCAGAATTTGAGAGCTCCTGCCTCATCTTTCAAGTCAGGTGCACAAACACTGAAGAATATCCCAAATGCCAAAGATCAAAGAGAACCTGTCTGTTCCCAATCTTCAGTTGAAAATCCTTTGCAGAACATCTCACCTAAATCTTTAATAACATCCTCTCCTAACATTGCTTTGAAAATATTACCAGTGCCTGACAGCCCCAGGAACCCAGGCTTTAAATTGATCAGCCCATCAATTAATGTTGACAAATCTGTTCAGACAGCGATGTCACTCCCAAGCCCAGTGCAAAATGGAAATCACAGATACTGTCGTTTGTGCAACATCAAGTTCAGTAGTCTTTCAACGTTTATAGCTCACAAGAAGTATTATTGTTCTTCTCACACTGCAGAACATGTCAAATAAATTCTTGCATCTGCAAGCTGTATCATGAATGTTTGCTCTGAATTTTAGCACAAATTAACTAACACCTCAATGTCTTTGTGCATTTGCTGTACAGTTTAGAAACAATCATGAAAACAAAACATTGGTTTCTGGTGTTGAAATGTTAACAACATTCCAATCTTAGTAAGTTATTTGAAATGGCCCAGGATGGTGAGTCATTTGTTGAATAAAAATCTCTCCTTTAGTTCTACCTTAAATTGGAATAATTTTCAAATTCTTATGCTTAGCTGGTAAAGTGCAGTAAAAGATTGTACTTTTCTCAGTTGACGCACTGAATATGGAGGATATGTTGTAATTAAATCTTCCACATCTGTTTACAGGCCCAGTATTTAATCTGCTCCTTTTGAAGAAACTGTGTGAAAGAGGCATTTTTACCAGCTGAATAACATAATATTTCATATTAATCTCCCAAATCAAATTAATTATATATTGATTTTCTTCAGAAACATTTTCAGAATATTCCATGTGCAACCTTTTGGTGAGTTTATAACAAAACAATGTTATATTTTAATCATTTTATGACAATCTAGCACCTAATCTCCCTTCCATTTGGGGGAGTAGCCTGCAGATTATGAAATGAGAAAGCAAATGTTTGGGTTAGTTAAAAGCATCCCACAAATTTACTTATTGAAGAAACCCATATTAAATTCTCTAGGATAACAAGTGCTGGTTGAATATCCCTCTTCTGAAGGAATTTTAATGGAATATAACTTTGTCAGTGTTCTCAGTCTTCAGGACATCCCATGACATTAAAAATAGCATTCCAGCCATGAATTCCGACCTTCCCTCACTATTGGATGTATTTTCATTCCAGGAGAGGCATGACTTTGATAGGCAGATTGGCCAGAATTTAGTGTGACAAATTCAGTGTTCGTAACTCGAGTCAAAATGTTGGATATGATTCCTAAGAAACATTGAAAGTCACACTTTATCCTCTCAATTTTTATCTCGCAAGTACTGACATTTGAATACTACTGAAATAAAAGATCACTAGGGGGCAAAGTAGTTTAAAACTAGTTTGTGTAGATTTAATGATACTTTAGCTAATTATTTAGTTAGTGCATGATAAACCCGTCATTCTTCATTTCAGTACATTCAATTGTCATAATATCTCTAATTTTTATTTATTAGTGTTGTATTTATTATCAGGGTTTACATGCCAAGACAGCACTAACACACAAATGTGCTGACAACAGCATTTAT